AGGCCCAGTTCTCTCTTGGGGTATGTCTACATTGCCCAAAAAAAGTATGTTCTTAGCTTGCGTTAGCTAACTCAGGTTAAAATAGCGGTGAAGATAAGGCAACTTAGCTTTTAACTCAAGTTAGCAGGTTGAGACAGAGCCTATAGGGGATCCTGGGGTTAGCAGCTCCAGTTCAACCAGAGTTAAATGTTCAGTTTCCTTGTCTTCACTGCTATTTTAACCTGAATTAACACACTTTCTTAGCAAAGTAGACATACCCTTACATGAATAGGGTTTGTGTGTATATAGGATATGTATATGGTGCCATCACCATAGTAGATGTACCTTTGCCTTATTCTTGCTATGATTTTTGTATGCTAGTTGTTTATCACTTTGTAAATTACATAAATAATGCTAAATTAAATGTAGAATAAGAAGCAAGAATATAGCCTGTTTTCATTGTACTTTGTGTGAGGTAGCTGGTTTTGTCTTTCTAAGGAAATTTCTTAAGATGCTTGTCAGTCATAGATGGATTAAGGTATTCAGAGTCTATTGTTAATCTCATACAGAACTGGAATTTATATTTAATTTTCAGTCATGATCAAATTCCTTCAAATGATGTTTCTGTTCCATAAACATACTTCCTTGGTGCATGTTAGCAAACACCAATTTTCACAAATGGGGACTTTTTTCATTGCATAATAGAAGCCTGCTCTCTGTAGCAAAAAGCTTAGAAATTTAGCCTAAAGAAATTAAGAATTTATATTGTATTTAGAAGCATATAAGAGAGGCTAGTTCTCTTCTGTCAGGTGCATGTGTCCCTAGATCACTTCACTCAACTAGGCTTATGTGAACTGTGGTGCTTATATCTCCATTTATAGGATTCAGTGTTTACGTTTTTGTTTCTCTTCAGGAAAAGTATTAATTTTTCTTAGAACAGAGTTTACAGCACTCTAAATATTCATCTTCAAGTGCACACAACTTAAGTTTATCTGTTATTATAATCTAAATGAAAGTCTTAATCTAATATAAAAGTATAAAGGCACAAATGGGAAAATGGGAGTAATCCTAATCCAGCAGTCCTTTTTATTCCCAGGAGATTTAGTGTGAACTACATAAGTGATTTGGTAACGAGGAAGAGGGCACCATTCAATAACTTGAAATCTGCCTGCAACAAGTACTTGCATATTTAAGTAATAATTGGATGCCCATGTTGCTCCATATTTTTCACGATCAGCAGAAATATGCTACAAAATAGCCACTGGATTCCCCTTGTCCACATGTTTGACTCCTCAAAGAACTCTAATAGATTAGTAAGATATGATCTCCCTTTACAGAAACCATGTTGACTTTTGCACAACGATTTGTTCTTCTATGTGTCTGACAACTTTATTCTTTACTATTGTTTCAACTAATTTGCCCGGTACCGACGATAGACTTACCGGTCTGTAATTGCCAGGATCACCTCTAGAGCCCTTCTTAAATATTGGCATTACATTAGCTATCTTCCACTTATTGGGTACAGTAGCTGATTTAAAGGACAGATTACAAACCAGGGTTAATAGTTCCGCAATTTCACATTTGAATTCTTTCAGAATTCTTGGGTGAATGCCATTTGGTCCTAGTGACTTGTTACTGTTAAGTTTCTCAATTAATTCCAAAACCTCCTCTAGCAACTCTTCAATCTGTGACAATTCCTCAGATTTGTCACCTACAAAAGACTGCTCAGGTTTGGGAATCTCCCTAACATCTTCAGCCGTAAAGACTGAAGCAAATAATTAATTTAGTTTCCCTGCGATTACTTTATTGTCTTTAAGTGCTCCTTTTGTATCTCGATCATCCAGGGGCCCCACTGGTTGTTTAGCAGGCTTCCTGCTTCTGATGTACTTAAAAACATTTTGTTATTACCTTTTTGAGTTTTTGACTAGCTGTTCTTCAAACTCCTTTTTGGCTTTTCTTCTGACATTTAATTTGGCAGTGTTTATGCTCCTTTCTATTTACCTCACTAAGATTTGACATCCACTTTTTAAAAGATGCCTTTTTATCTCTCACTGCTTTTACATGGTGGTTAAGCCATGATGTCTTTTTTTTAGTTTTTACTGTGTTTTTTAATTTGGGGTATACATTTAAGTTGAGTCTCCTGTTATGGTGTCTTTGAAAAGTGTCCATGCAGCGTGCAGGGATTTCACTCTAGTCACTGTACCTTTTAATTTCTGTTTAACTAACCTCCTCATTTTTGCATAGTTCCCCTTTCTGAAATTAAATGCCACAGTGTTGGGCTGTTGAGGTGTTCCTCTTATCACAGGAATGTTAAATGTTGTTATATTATGGTCACCGTTTCCAAGCAGCCATGTTAGTTACCTCTTGGACCAGATCCTGCGCTCAGATCAGGACTAGATCAAGAGTTGCCTCTCCCCTTGTGGGTTCCTGTACCAGCTGCTCCAAGAGGCAGTCATTTAAAGTATCGAAATTTTGTCTCTGCATTTCGTCCTGAGGTGACATGTACCCAGTCGATATGAGGATAATTGAAATCCCCCACTATTATTGAGTTCTCTATTTTGATAGCCTCTCTAATCTCCCTTAGCATTTCATCGTCACTATAACTGTCCTGGTCAGGTGGTCGATAATAGATCCCTACTGTTCTATTCTTATTAGAACATGGAATTACTATCTGTAGAGATTCTATGGAACATGTTTTCAAGGGTTTAACACAGATTTTATTGGTGGGTTTTATATATTTTTATTTTTTTTTCCACCCGGAGAGGATAAGAATATAGCAGTTTGCATTGGTTATTCTCTCTCCCCTCCCACCTGCCCTGTTTGTAACACCCTGATTAATGTACTATATCAGTTCATTTTAACTAAAGGAAAACCGTTCTGAGGATGCCAGATGGCTCAACAGTCTGATAGCACCTTTTTTTACGTTGAGTAGCCTTCATCAAGTAATTTTAATAATGCGCCATTTCTCTTGGGTTGTCATATTTTGCAAAAAGAGAGGTTATTAATAAAGGATGAATCTAGTACATGTGGAACGAACAATATTTCCATTTTAATACTCCTTCTTAAGAACTTAGGTTGGGATTTTCAAATGCTCAGCATTGGTCTAATGCTTCCACTGAAACCAGTGGATGTTTTGCTATTAACTTGAATGGAAGGAGAATTAAGTCAACACTAAGCACTTTTGAAAATAACACCCTTCGAGTATTGGCATCTGCAATAGCTCATTGGGCAGAAACTTGGGACAGATGGTTCAGATGCAATATTTATATTTGGAGTTTGGCTAAAAAGAATATAATTTGGTTTCTCATGCAGTACCATGAACCTCCAAGTAAAAACTTATTTTCTTCTTAGAAATGTAGAGGGAGATTGCAGAAAGTCTTGCTGCAAATCCTAGATGGTTTGGCAATGGAAAGTATGCTCGTGTCCGTCAATTTCATAATTTAGCTGCTGTATAGGTATAGTAGCTAACTCTTCTGTGCACATTACTGAAACTTTGCACTTGCATGTCAAACCAGAAATATATGTTCTTAAGCAAATAGCTATGAATCAGAACTCTTTCCTTTCCAGACAGGCTCTTTTGGAAGTGCCAGAGAGAGAAGATTGACTTTGTTGCTTTTGTAAATGAAACATTAACCACTATTTTTTCTAAAATCTCTAAAGTCCAAGTACCCTGTGGCATTTTACATAACAGTACTATACTGTGAAAACTTAGTAATATAATAGATTTTTAAAATCTTATGAGAGAGAAGTAACCTCTGGAGCTTTACAGTATGCAAACTGATGAGAGGCTACCATGAATAAACTAGGAACCCTAAAATTGCTATTCTAAGCTAGTTTAGAATGTCCTTAGTTCTTAACAGTACCCACACAATTACCTTTTAAAACTGATTGTAAATGTATAACTGTAGGATTTATCACTGTGGGAGAAATAGACAAGTTTGAGGTCAGCAAGCTTGTTACTTATCAGCCCAAAACAGTGCATGCACAAATCAAAACACTTACATGGCCATGGTGACTGAAAATGTCTGATTTACACAAGATGAAAATGAAAGTTTCTTGGGGGAAAAGTACTTGTATAACAAAACTAATTCACTATGCTTACAGAAAGATATTTTGCAATATGTGCTGTAGTCAGTAAGCAACTGATTACAATTCACTACAGAACCAGGTTTCTTTGCTAGGGTGAACTTAACTATCTTGAGTAGTTATGCATCATCTGCAGATTTTGCCACCTCACTGTTTTACCCCTTTTTCCAGATCATTTATGAATATGTTGAATAGGACTGGTCCCAGAACTGACCCTTGGGGGACACCACTATTTACCTCTCTCACTCTGAAAACTGACCATTTATACCTACCCTTTGTTTCCTATCTTTTAGCCAGTTACTCATCCATGAGAGCACCTTCCCTCTTATCCCATGGCAGCTTACTTTGCATAAGAGCCTTTGGTGAGGGACCTTGTCAAAGGCTTTCTGGAAATCAAAATACTGTATGTCCACTGGATCCCCCTTGTCCACATGTTTGTTTGACCCCTTCAAAGAACTGTAATAGACTAGTAAGACATGATTTCCCTTCACAGAAACCATGTTGACTTTTGCCCAACAATTTATGTTCTTCTATGTGTCTGACCATTTTATTCTTTACTATCGTTTCAACTAATTTGCCTGGTATTGACGTTAGACTTACTGGTCTGTAGTTGCCGGGATCACCTCTAGAGCCCTTTTAAAACATTGGCATTACATTAGCTATCCTCCAGTCATCTGGTACAGAAGCTGATTTAAATGATAGGTTACAGACTACAGCTGTTAGTTCTGCAGTTTCACATTTGAGTTCCTTCAGAACTCTTGGGTGAATATCATCTGTCCTGGTGACTTATTACTGTTTAATTTATCAATTTGTTCCAAAACCTCCTCCAATGATTCCTCAATCTGGGACAGTTCCTCAGATCTGTTACCTAAAAAGAATGGCTTGGGTTTGGGAATCTCCCTCACGTCCTCAGCTGTGAAGAACGATGCAAAGAATTCATTTAGATTTTATTTATTTAGGTTTTATAAAAGCTACTGTTCCCTTCATTCATGACCTTGACATCACTCTACTATAGACTATATAACAGGCTTCAAAAAAGAACTAGATAAGCTCATGGAGGACAGGTCCATCAATGGCTATTGGCCAGGATGAGCAGCGATGGTGTCCCTAGCTTCTGTTTGCCAGAAGCTGGGAATGTGCAACAGGGGATGGATCACTTGATGATTACCTGCTCTGTTCATTCCATCTGAAGCACCTGGCATTGGCCACTGTCAGAAGACCGGATACTGTGCTCGATGGACCTTTGATCTGACCCATTCTTGTGTTTTTACTCCGTTTCCATGTCAGCATTTAAAATACTTCATTTCATAAATGGCATATAGTGCCAGCAGTAGCAAAAAAAAGTACATGGATTCAGCAGTCAGTTTTGCAGAGAATAATAAAGAACAAGCAAAGTCCAAACCGCGAAAGTGTGTTTCCTCACTTGACGATTTTGCATCTGTTCAGCAACAGTGGCAAATGATCAGAGAAGAATCTCTCGTGTTTGGTCAGTTTAGACTCCAAGCTCGGTGGAGCAGGGACCATACCTTTGCTTCGTCAATGCCTTATACACATCTGGTGGTATACACAAACATTGGAAAGACATCTATCTAGAGTAGACACTATATTGTACTCATTACCATAGTGTGAGTGCCATTATAAACTTATATTGCTTCAGCAGGTTGTTTAAACGTATTTATAGCACCCCCCTTCTTTTCCTTATGCTGAATGTTGTTTTGAGAGGTTTTTTTAATTTGTATTAAAATACATTAGTGGAGAACTTAACAATGAATGCACTAAACTTAATCTTGCTTAGTAAAGCCCCTGATGGGAGGCTACTAACATTTGGAGTGTAGACTTGTTGCTAAGTTTTAAAATAGTGTGTGAAGAGGAGTGAACTAAAACATGTGATAACCTTAACTCCTACACCTCTTGTGCAAAAGGCTTCCTTTGAAATCTTGCTAATGATTTACATTATTTTTAAAATGCTTTTCTGTAGTGTTACCTTCTAAGCTGAATAATATTAAATCTGCTGTGATTGCACAAATTTTAAAACAACGTAAAATATCACCTGTCCTGGTATTTGAACATCTTTTCTGCTGTTTTAAAGTGCAGTATTATACTGTACTAGTTTAAGAACTTGGAAAAGCTTTTGGCATTTAATTTGAGATTTAGCCTTTGTGTAAAGAGTTTAAAAGTTTTCTGATACTGTCAAGTCAGAAACAAGTTAGCATTAAAAATAAATTCACAACATATTTTTACTAGTCCTGGCTAGCTGATGGTATATTTGGCTTTTAATATTTTACACACAATTAGACTATCAACCATACTATACTATAAATCATTAAGTGCGTGTGCTCTCACGCATGTTCGGCTACATTAGGTCTTTTGAATTTTTACAAATTAAGTATAGTTTTAACATGCCTTAGTTAACACGTGGGAGAGAATGTCCTAAAACTTCCTTACTTTCCGGAAGTCATGCGTAGCTGCAACTTTTAAATATCTAGTTAAGTGGTTCTCAACCTCCAGACTGCTTGCAGTACAGTCAGCACACAGCTGCGGTCCATGTGACATCCTCAGGGCCATACAGGTAGTGTGTGTGTGTGTGTGTGTGTGTGTATATATATGTGTGTGTGTGTGTGTATACACATATTGAGTGGATGCATCCCAAGTAACATTTAAAGAGCTGCATACGTGGCCGACAATGGTAAATAGGTTGACAACCACATCATAAAATCCAGTAAATGGCCTACCTTGATCATCATACACATTGTAAGGAGAGTGATCACTTTAGATAAGCTATTACCAGCAGGAGAGTGCGGTGGGAGGAGGTATTTTTTCATGCTTTATGTGTATAAAAAGATCTTATACGCTTTCCACAGTATGCATCCGATGAAGTGAGCTGTAGCTCACAAAAGCTTATGCTCAAATAAATTGGTTAGTCTCTAAGGTGCCACAAGTACTGATCTAGTTGAAGTTTTACTTTAAACTTCACTCCAATCTTCATAATAGGCTGCAAAGTATGTATTATCTCTCTTATAGAATGGCAGATGCGATTTAACCAACTTCCAAAAAGGGAATTGGCATCGGGTACAGAGGTCAGTAGTTACAGATTAATCATGTGCTCAACATACTAGACCGCACCCCTCCATAATGGTAGGAATAGACTTCTAGTCCTGCCCCAGAAAACAAGATATTCAAAGGACAAAACAGTTCTGATTCCCACAAGTAGTAATCCTTTTGTTTCTGCTTGTTTGGATTCTGATATAGGAGCACCTAAAATCTTAAAGAAGTGCAACTCTTAGGCTCTCCCTGACCCCTCCCCACCCCATCCCCCAGGCACTTCAAGGGAAACATTTCCAGCCCTGACTTCCAGACATCCTTTTCATTTTCTACTCTGACAGCCACTGCAAAGGACAGTGCTGTTCTATAACCTTAATGGTCAGGGGAAGAAAGAAAATAAAATCTAAAGCTCTTATTTTTCCCAAGAGACCTAGGAAGACGCATCCTACAAGAGCCAAAAAGAACTCCAAGAAATGCCTCTCCTTCTACTGACCAAAGAAGGGTACAATTATTCTTGCGCGGCTGTCAACCAAAAGGGAGCATTCCCACAGTAGCTAGATCTCTAAAGTAATGGTGATCAAGATCTCTCTCTCTCTCCCATGTCACAAACTCAATCACAGAATTAATGACAATAACAGATGAAAGTCTATCTAACTGAAGAGCACAAATGGTGCCAACAAAAACTCAGGAGCGTCAGTTGGCTGTAGTCACAGGTGATTTGGTGAACTAATGCTTTCAGGAGCCTCATGATATCATGGTAAAGCCTTTTGTGAATTGGCAAAATTAATTAGAAAGGTCACTGTTGCTTCATAAGAGTTATTTTGACTTGCCAGAAAGGCACCCTACCTCCCTACCCGCTTTCCAATTTCATAGCGAGGAACTCAGATTGCTGAACCATCAACATTCTAATCAGATTTGGTCCTAGTGACAGCGTATTCCAAAAGTTGACATTCAGATGTCTGAGGAACAGCCATATAATATAGCAGTGTGTTTATACTTCAAGTGTCATGTATTTATTTATAAGTCCAGCACAGAGATACTTAATGTTTTTTTGCCTCTTAAAACTTACTAGACCATTTAATTTTTGGGATATGAGTTATATGCTTACATTTATTTACAATAAAATTCTATAAAGGCCTGAATAAAAGTACAAGCTCATGTGCACACACATGTACTGCCTGTGTCCTCTTGGCATGCAAACTACAATGAAGCGTATTAAAAACGAACACAATTCAGTCCGTTATAGAAAGGTTTCAGCATGCAGGGCTTTGACTGCCTTTCTGTGGAGTGAAGTAGTATAACTTCTGTTACTCATTGCAATAGCTATAAACTGTTGATTCCAGGAAGTACTATTAGGTGCAAAGTAAATTGAATCAGATTGGCAAACTAACTGATAAGTAATATGGACATAAGGAACTGAAAACGAAAAGGATGTCTGAAAGTCAGGGCTGGAAATGTTTCCTTTGAAGTGTATGCTGAAGTTGCTGGGGGTAGGTTTTTTGGGTTTTTGTTTTTTAAATGACTTAAAACACGTTTTAGAAATTTTCTTGAAACATTTGTCTTGAGAAAATGGTTGCAATGTTTGGCTGTTATGTAGTTAAACTGCTGTGCTACTTGATTAAAAGACAAGCATACTTTCCAGGAAAAGGTGAAAGGACACACATACCACAGATCAGTTTCGTTTGCCATTTTCCGAACTTCAAGCAGATATTCTAGTGTGAAATGCAATCTTTATACTAAGGCTTGAGAAACCGTAAAATACGAGGACTGTCTGTTTCATTAAGTGCAACATAGTGCACTCTTAAACTCAGTGTATTTGAGGGCAAAAGATGAGACCACAAAGCTAATTCTCTGGATCTGGTTGCCTTGAAGCCTCTTACTAGGTTTCACTTTATCACTTAATTTGAGGATATCAGCATTTGTAATTGATTGGGAGCTGGAGTTATTGTTACTCTTTCAAATATTGGCGAGTCAGTCAATCTAAATATTCATGCATCACAGACTTTAAAATTGGGAGAGTGGCTGCATACTCACATAAAGGCATGTTGTTCAGCTGGGAAGTTTCTGGAAGTGTTTAGATCAAAAACAGAGTCAAGAGTCTTCAGTATTCCTGCTTTACTTACAGATGAAGAAGTCCACAACGTTACTTCAGAGAGGTTCCTCAGTTGAAGAGGCTGAGTGCTGAGATGGTGTGGAAGCCAGCTCCCAGGAATCTGTTTGGAGCCAAAATATCAACAGAGGGAACAAGACACATTTGTCTTACTGTCATAGATATGCCAGGGCTATTTTAAATTCCAAAACAATAATGCAAAAACCTGGGTTTCTATGGTTTAACTTTGTAATATGCAGGTAATCACAGGGCTGCAATTGCAATTTAAGGCAATTGCTGTGTCATTTGGGAAGATGTGATTCAAAAACAATAAAGGGCAACTAGCTTGGCCGCCATCTGCAGGATTTTTCAAGGTGGAGGAGCCAATTTGCCAGGATGGAAACCTTGGCAAACCAATGTAGAGCAAAGGATTTAAAGCAATGACGCTCAGGCCACGTCTACACTGGTCTACACTAAGGCCACGTCCAGTGGGTAGTGATCGATCTATCGGGGATCGATTTACCGCGTCTAGTGTAGACGCGATAAATCGATCGCTCTGCTGTCGACTCCGGAACTCCACCAGGGCGAGAGGCGGAAGCTGAGTCGATGGGGGAGCGGCGGCCGTCAATCCCGCGGCGCGAGGACGTGAAGTAAGTGATTCTAAGTCGATCTAAGATGCGTTGACTTCAGCTACGCTATTCTCATAGCTGAAGTTGCGTATCTTAGATCGATTTCCCCCTCCTCCCCCCAGTGTAGACCAGGCCTTAGACTGAGGCTTGCGACCCACAAGTGGCTTTTTAATGTGTCTCTTTGCAGCTCATGATATTAAAACACTATGTGTGATTTAATTAACAACCAGTCAGGATGCTTGGTCCGTCATTTCGCTATGAGAATAAAATATAGAGAGTTGCCAATTCTGGTTGTACGTATTCCTGGAGGTTTCATCAGGCTAATTTGGCTCCTGAACCACTGAAGTCTGAGTCACTGATTCACAGGAAGGAGTAAGGTGAAGGAAACTTGCAGCAGGTCTCCAAGGTATTACTATGTGAGCAGGAGCTGGTGACTGTTTTAAATGCTGCATGCCAATAATAAGGAGCCTTTATAGGAAACTGGGGATGTGCTAATTATTCTCTTAATGAAATAAAATATCCCAAGTGCTGCAACCCGAGAATAGAGTTTGTATGCTAATGTCGCAGTTCTACACTCCTTTATGAGATAACATCGAAAAGTCTCAAAACCTGCTTTACAAATAACACATTCAGCTGTGAGTTTGTCTACACTGCTCCTTACCCCACCTGCAAACCCCCTCCTAAAAAAAGAAAAACCTGTGGAAGCCAGTCTCAGAGCACGGGTCAACTGGTTTGGTCTTGTGCTGTCAAGCTAAAAATAGCAGTGTAGACATTCCCATTTGGACTGGAGCTCAGGCTCTGAGACCCACCTCCCCTCACCGGGTTTCAGAGCCCAAATAGTCATGTCTACGCTTCTATTTTTAGCCCTGTACTGGGATCCTGAGTCAGTTGACCCCAGGCTCTGAAACTCACTGCAGTGTGCTCTTTTTTTGTTTTTTGTTTTTTTTAAACAGCATTACACATACCTTTTATCTTGCATGCAACCTAATGCTTGTGTTAGATCTTTACTGTTTTTGTATCTTTAAAGTACTGTGTACACCTAAAACTTGGGTAAGTTGCATGTGAAAGGGGAAGACTGCTCGTGAAACAGGATTTAATTACTGTGCTTGTGTTCATTTACAGGAACCCTTTTGTGGTTCAAAGCCTTGTATGTAGTGGTTTCAATATACTGAAATCAATTACAAGAAATCAGACTAGGCTGATTCATTTTCTGCATATTGATTTATGCCCAAGGTGAAACTTGTGACTTCAACAGAACATAAGTGATTTCTTTATTTTTCATCTTCGCACAATCCCTTCAGGGGGTTTCTTAAATTTCTTTGTGATCAAGTCTTCTAATAGTATGAGATTAGAATCCAAACAGAAATGGTACAGAGTAATTCCTGTAATGTTAACTTAAAGTACAGCTAGTTCATGTTCACATGGAATGAGCATACTCCATGCTTTTTTTTTTTGTTTTGTTTATCTAGGCCAGAATTTTCAAAAGGACTCGGCACCCACAGTCCAGTCCAGATTTTCAGAATAGGTCAGCATCCTCTTAGGTACCAAAATAAGTGGCCAGATTTTTGGGGACCATCAAAGCTCACCACCTTCCACTCTGAGTACAAGCTGAATTTCTTTGGCCTTGCCTTCTCTAACAAACATGTGGCAACGTGTAAGCAAAAGAAAATTTTTACAATGTTGCAAAACAAAACAGTCCACACACTTCTCCCCCAGGGAGAGCATGAGATAAATAGCAGAGATTTTAGTCATGTTGCTTAATGCAGTTCTGGAAGACACTCAGCGACTGAGTTCAGTGTAAGAACCCAGATAGAATAGAATTTCAAAACAGCTCAATGCTTATTGTGTGGTGGTCCTTGTTTTAATGAATCAAACTCAGTCTAAACACTTGAAATACCTTGAAATATTCTTTGCACCAAAAATTGAAAGTAGTTTACTTACACTGTTATAGTTTCAGGTTTACTTCAGTGTGATGAAAGATCAGTTTTGAGGCTACTCATGTGCCTTATTATAGGAAAACCTTTTGTTCTTAAGCTGTAAAGAACATAGGAACTGAAACAATGGCTATATTGACCACAGATACATGAAGTGAATTTTTTCATTCTTGTGAACTTATTTTCTGTTTAAGTTATAGGCAATACCGATAACCCTCTCTTCTGAAAGAAGTAAATGGTTGGTTGAGTATGCACAAGAGAATAGATTTGATAAAAGCAGTGTCAGTTCATATGAAATCTTAAGGCAGGTAAAAAATCTTAGTTTCTAGGTTTTTAAAAGGTTATCTACTTTTTTTTAGTGCTGTTTCAGAGTAGAACAGATAGCCCCAACATATTGAAAAAATTAGATCCCTCCTTTAATTCAGAACAAGGCAGCAGATGTGACAATTTGTGGCACCTTCTATAGATTTCAGAAAGAACTTGTCTATTAAAGAGTATACTAACTTCTTTTCTGTAATTCAGTTGCTTTTGAAACCGTTCTCTTTGTATAAAGTTTGACAGCTGCAATTCTCATTTCTTAAGACAATATACATGTAACCTAGTTCGTTGGCATTGCGTTATCAATAGTTTGTTTTTCCTCAAAGGATCTCTTTCCATTAACTTCAGTGGATTTTGGATTAAGCCCACACTTCAGTGTGTTGGTGCTATGTTTATTCTGTTATTTCTGTTGCTAAAAACTGGTCCCTGGCTGCTGCAAACTCTGGTGCATTTGAATATACAGTTAGAGGGTTCTTTTTATTATTTTTTTTGTGTATAAAAGGAAGATGTTGGTAAGTGAGATTTTTAGATTTAAAGAGAATTTTTAAATAGTTGGCGATTCTTGCTAACATTGTTTAATGTGAACAGATTAGTGGCAAATCCTATGCACACAACCAAATCAAGCATTTTTTCAACTTTGCAATCTCCTGCCCTTGCTCGAGAACAATGCTTGAAACTATTTGAACAAGATTATCATATCTCTAACCTTTAAAGAGCCCATATTCTATGTAGTTCACTATATAGCTTTATAATGCAAGGATGAAATTTTTCAGGATTTTTAAATACAATATACTTCTAATACTCAAAATTCAGATGTCTGTCTATCAATACTGTAAGGGTGCAGTTCAGTTCTAGAAAGTTTAGACCCATGTAGGAGAACTTAAAGCATTTGAAGTCCAAGTTTTGAAAATGTATAATAGAAAAATCACTAGAGCTCTATTGTGTATTAGATTTTTGAATTAGCGAACAAAATACTACGTCCCAAGACGTATCTTTGACAAAACAAGTGAACCATGTAGTTTAGTTTTGCTAGGTTGATAGTGTTCTGGTAAGTGTATTTGGAACCTCACTGTGCCACTCTTCATCTTTGCTGAGAAACTGAGTATGAGTGTGTTAGTTGTGTCAATTTTTGCAGAGTGAGAATTAAGATTCCAGTGTGCTTTATTCAACACCAGGCTCATTCTCTTCAGTGTTGGATGCAATTGTGCAGAACATTTGTTTCAAAATGCAAATAAAATACCACCACCCTGCTAACTTTAAAAAATGCACATACTTTTTCTAGGTTTCTGATTATCAAAAATATCATCCGCTCAATTTTCACAAATATTGAGTTCCTGCAGAGCCAGTGAGGGGGAGCAGTCCTGCTTTGTCACGTTTTTTAAATGGTCACTTGCTCTCATATTTCTTAGCTAATCGATTTGATTTTTGGAAAGGATAATTAACTATTTGATTTAAAAACTAAAATCTGTTTGTCCCAGGGCTTAAATGTGGCCAGAGCAGAGCTCTGGTAAATATTTCTGAGCCCTGGTGGCTCCTCTTCTTTCCCCCGCTCCTCCCCTGGTGGGCCTGAAACCTGGAGGCCAGAGCCATGAGCTAGAGGTTTTTATAGCATGGGCCGGGGGGGGGAAGGGCTTTGGGAAATCTGAGAATTTAAAGTCTGGCTTGTCCCAAACTATTAGCCCCAATTTTATATATACATAAATGTGTTCTATACCAGCAGTTTTCAACCAGGGCTGTCAGTCCAGGGCCTTCCCCTGTGGGGCTGTGAGTAGAATTCATGGGGTCCCCCAAGCATGGCTGGCATTAGATGCGCTAGGATCCAGGGCAGAAAGACGAAGCCCCACCACGTGGGACTGCAACACGGGGCCCCGAGCTCCACCATTCTGGGCTGAAGGTGAAGTCTGAGCAACTTAGCATTGTGGTGCCCCTTGTGGTGTGGGGCACTGGGCAGCTACCCTGCTTGCCACCCCCTGACGCAGGCCCTGGCTTTTATATGCAGAAAAATAGTTGTTGTGGCACAGTGGGCCTGTGGAACTTTTATAGGATGTTGCGGGGGGGCCCTCAGAAAGAAAAAGGTTGAGAACCCCAGTGCTACACCATTTTAAACCTATAAAATATTAAAGGTACAGTGGAGTCTGGCACTCTAATTCCTACTTTCCCTTTAAGGTTAATTTCACGTGTATAAAACGTACTTCAGTGTAAAGTAATTGTGTGTGTGTGTAATAAGATAATGACCTTGGGTGAACACAAAAGATGAAGTCACTCCACAGTTCCTCTTCCATCAGTTATGTCATCAGAACCTCTCCACTGAATTGCATCTCTGTATTCATTCCAGTGCCATCTACTGTTCTGTTATAGCTTATACACAATGAGAGTCCTAGCTCTGGAAAGATTACCATTTTGATGATTGTACTCTGAGTGTGCAGCCAGAACCATCTGGTTTCATTGTCTTAAAGGATCTGGGAGAAGCCTCTTGTCAGGTGCTTTTTTTTTTCTTCTCTCAAGCACTTTTCACAGAAATATTTAGATTTGCAAAAAGGCTACATATGTTATCCGAGAACATTTGGTTTTGGTCATGTCCTTGTATAAGTACCAACGAAGGCTGTCCGTAAGAAGTTGACACTGTCACTTGTCAGTCCAGGAGTTAAAATGTTATGTAG